TTTCCTATCGCAGTTTTGACCGTGGCCCCGCTGCCTCACCTTTACCTCCATTGCCTCCGTTGCCGCAGGCGGCGCGGGCGCGGCAGCCTTACCGAACGAAAACAACGACGCTGGCAGCGGTGGAGGCTTGGTCATGGCTGGAGGAAGCCCTGCAGAGAATGGGAGTTCAGCTGACAACAAATTTCTGGGTGGTTAAAAAGTTAAAAGTGAATAAATCCAAAAAGTTAAAGTTAAACGTCCATAAAATTACAGTAAGTCATGTTTTTCAGGTCATAAATCTAAAGTTGCCAAGTTCATCATAACTCCTGTGGTGTTCAGTGGCAAACCACTACATTTGGAAGGAACCCAATCCAGCAGACGGCCTCAAGGGGCTCAGAAAAATCGTGGCGTTCTCCAACATCTTTTCCCAAATGTTCCCACAATTTCCATGTGTTCCATATTTGTCTAAAAAAAGGTGCTTGTTTTTTTGAGAACATGTTTACCCTCTGGTAAACTGTCCCATAACTATGGAAAATCACCATGTTATAGCTGGCTAAATCCACTATTTCGACTGGGCCATGGCTTCAAGTTCGCAAACTGTTAGTCATTACCAGAGGCTAAATCCCATATCATCCCATTATTCACCATTGTTATGGTGGTTCATCCCACTTAGTAAATGGGTTATAACCCCAGTTCTTGGAATAAGTAAGGTTAATCCACTCTTATAATTGGGATTATAAACCATGGTTAAACCATTACATCCATAGAAAATTCTGAAATTGTTCCGAAAGATTCTGAAAGTTTCCCCAAATCACTTCTTGCCTCGATGATCCGGCCTGCCGTTCACAAGTACGGGCAGTACCGTGGCGGCTGGACGTGAGTGATCCGATGCTTGGGGGTTCAACTCATCCGAAAAAATATGCATGATATGAATAAGTACCCTCTGGTAATTTAACATAGCTATTGAAAATGGCCATAGAAATAGTGGATTTTCCCATTGAACATAGTGATTTTCCATAGTTATGTTAGTTTACCAGAGGGTAATCATATCAATAGTATGAATAAGTATTGGGATATCATTCAAAGGAATGAGTATTCTAATGAATATGAATCACTGTGAATGAAATTCATCGTCATCTCCATTAGATTCATGCCAAATACCTTCGGCATTCCAGGTATGGGACGTGGCCCTGGATGTGCCGAAACATCTCGTCTGGAAATACACATCGCCCAATCTTTTTAGCGAAAAAAGAAAACACAAAAAAACATAAATAATGTGTATGTATGTATATATATATATACGTAACATTATATGTGGTCAGATATGTCAACATCCCATGTTGGATGCATTTGAACATCTTCAAACCACCTTCAAATGTGTCGGCAAGCGTCGAACCGTCCCAACGCAACGTGCCTCTTGGATTTATCGTCCTGCAGTGATGGGTGTGAGAGGACCCCAATGAAAAAGAATACCCTTTTGCAAACTAACATAGCTATGGCAAATGGCCCATTTATAGTTGATTTACCTATTCAAAATGGAGATGTTCCATCGTTTTTTGTATGTTTACCAGAGGGTATGAGATTTCATCACAGGCTTTTCGAGGAATCCCATCCCGATTGAAATAACTATCCCAGCGGGTAATTCTTTGCCATGGGATTATCATGAAATCCATCCTTAGGAAATCTCATGAAATAACTGGATATAACTGGCACAGTAAGGACTCGCTGGCAAAGCCAGCCCATTGTGCCTCGCTGGACATCCATCGTCGGCAAGAACTGCGACCTGGGGTTGACCAGATCTTGATGATTCCAGATGTCTTTACCAAAGTTAAGTGTTGAAATATTAAATAGACATGGATAGACACTAGATATTCACCAATATAGTAGATTCAATAGACATTCACGGTTTTGTCAGTCTGACTAAATTATCATTCGCGAGTTTGGGATGATTACCCCTACCAGCATCATCTACAGTGACGTCATTGTGACTTCAATATCATTTCTGCTTGAAAATTGTAAACAACAATATGCAACTGGTTGGTGGTTTGAACCCCTCTGAAAAATATGAGTTCGTCAGGGATGATGACATTCCCAACTGAATGGAAAGTCATAATCCAGTCATGTTCCAAACCACCAACCAGATATGCAATGTTTATCAGATATGTCAGAATGGGTACTGCGCATTTTGCACCGGTTCCACCTTGACTGAACACATCAAAGAAGCACCCGTGAAGTTATCATGGTGTGGCTCCCAGTGGTAAGCCCTGGATGCCTCTTCTGGGTATTCGTGTCATCCCGCCGGTCAGTTTGGTCTCCTGAAAACTTCACAAAATAGCTGGTGGTCATGGAAATTTTGCATCCACCTGATTCATATCTTTGTTGACCAAAAATAGAGGGAAAAAACAATCACAAAAGCGATGATTCATCAATAATTTTCCGCAATTTCCCCATTTATATATATATATATACGTACAATATGTATGTATATATATATATATATACTGATATTATTATATTATATTATATATATATATATATATTATAGAATAGAAATTATATGTTATATCGTGCATATACACCACATTTCTGGGTAAACCATCCCATTCTCCCGTGCACCGCGTGCGCCGCGCCTGTCCAGGTCGGCGTCCAACGCGGAGACAACAGCGACGCCTTGACCGAAACGGAGAGTGCCATGGGATGTCCAGTGGTTTACTGGTGATTTACTGGTGATTTTCATCGCTACACCATAGAAGTTCATAGATTTTAATAGAACCCTCTGGTAAACATACAAAAAACTATGGAAAATCACCATTTTTAGTTGATTTAATAGATTTTAAATGATTTTAATAGATTTACCCTCTGGATTTCATGGGATCTAAGTATGAACCAATGGAAACTTTGATGAATTTATGGGATATGGATTTGTCTGATGGGAAATACCCTACCCTCTGGTAAACTGTCCCATAACTATGGAAAATCAACATTTTTAGTTGATTTAATCGATTTTAAAAGGATTTAATAGGTATATTACCAGTGTTGAATCCTATTTAGATGCTGTTTACTGGTGATTTATAGACCATTTTTCCAGATTATTCCATTAATGCTGGAACATCCTATACGGGATGGGTCAAAACCGTGTACCACTGGTGATCAAAATAGCTGGTAAACAAATGGATATTCATCTAAAAATCTAAAAATGGTATGTATATATAATCATATATATATAAGGTATTGATCCATAGACATATAAATGGAGAGTTGAATGGGGATCTTATTTCGGCATATAACAGGGATATCTCATGTGATATGAATGGAATATGAATGGAATATTGGGCTTGGAGATCCCATATACATGGAGGAATAATGGAGCTTTATAGCTGGGAAAACTCGCCGTTCTAATGGTGGATCCCGTATTACCGGACCTTGGAAAATGATCTACACATGTCCATGATTAATTGGTGAAATGGGCACTTGGAAGTACATCCCACTTCGACTTGTGAGTAAGAAACATCTTTCACAGACTTAGATGAATATCACCAGTTATGGTATGGGTTATGGTATGGCTTTTTGACCACTTATATAATTACTCATAATTACTGTAGATCTGTAGTAACTAATTGCTGAGTTCATTTTGAATCCTCATGCCAGGCAATCAGCTAGGATTGTTTGATGAGTTGTCACTTGCAATGGTACATCCATCATGCAGGTAGCTGCGTTCGAATATCAACAAACATAGGGGTTGACTCTGAACTATTCACACATAGTCACATAGTCACATAGTGCTCTAGCTGCCCCTGCCGCCCACCAAAAATTGCTGGAACTACTGTGAACTGTAAACTGTAGTTAGCTTACAACCGCCCACACTGCTGGAATATAGCCATGTTACCATGTTCACAAAAAAGCTGCTTCAGCTGGGCTCGGAGCATTCTGGCCCTCACTTCGAACCCTCTTCACCCCACTTTTTTTGATGCGGACATAGATCAAAATTGGCTATCCAACTTTTTAAAAACTTCGAAGCAATGCTCCACGCCAAACAAAACGTGCTGCTTGGTCGTCCCGACCCGAAGACGCACTGCCATGCCCCGTGCCTGAAGGCAGATGTGTAGCCAGTGGGGCAGGGGCCAAGAGAAACTAAGACCCATGGGACCTACAAACATCACAAACTATGCAGCTGGAAATACTTTGAATCCGAAGTGTGATTGGTGACACCTGCGAAATTTCCACTATGGCTTCCCACACACCCAGATTCTGCCCGACTTGGTTGGGCCCAAAGTATCCCAAAGTTGCGTTGGATTCTTTTCCAGCCTCCTAGAAACATGAAATCAAGGTAAGTCGGAAAACAAAGAATGTGTGCAATGGCAACCACCAGCATCCACGAAGGGTATGGGTCAAAATTCTTAACCCCGCAAAATGGAGAGTTGAATACTCAACAATAGCCCCATTTGTTTGCCAAGTTTTGATCCATTCTGTGGGTTAATTATCCAACTCGTCCAAATATAGACGGTTCACCCGTTCAGGTCAGCACTTCTTCAATGCCGCGCCGGCGGCCGCGGCCACATGGCGATGCCAATGCTGGCAGATGCAGAAACTGATCTCAGAACCAGCGGGAATCTAGGATGATCTGGGGATATTTAGGGGTGTGGCTCTCACTGATGTGGATTGGTTCATGACTTTTTCATGATTTAACACAGCTTGGGCTTCACAAATAAGCCGCAGAGTGAAGTTGTCTTGTCGTCGCTGCTGCACTGGCTTCGAGATTAGATAACGAACTCTGCAGAGTTTCACCTTGAAGCTGTCAACAGCTAAGGTTGGATGTTTTGTCATATAGCTAATTCATCTCTGATTCATCTCTCCAGAATGTCGCAGGCACATAAAGAACAGAAAAATATGTCTGGTAAGGTGGCTGGCCTGCATCCCCTCATGGTTAGAGTTGCTGGACTGCAAATGATCTGATCATTGAAAGATCAAAGAGATTCAAAGAGGTCTTCTGAATTATCTTCAGTGTTTCATCTTGACTTTTCGCATCTTTCCCTGCACATTCCATCTCCGCCTCCATGGTTCCTTTGGTTGCCATGGTTGCCCATGGTTTCCCACCGCTCCCATGACTGCACCACTGCGTTGCCTTCTTTTGGTGAGACCGTGACACTTCGCATCGCCGCATCGCCGCATCGCCACCAGATGCTCGTCGCGTCGCTTCAGCACGTTCTCCCATCGCTTGGTCACCGCCATGTCGCCGTGTCGCCATCCGCGCAGCCCAGTCTCTGCACCTCGGTAAAAACGACAGCGATCTGTGGAATTGTCCATGGAGGATGGTTGAGGCTTGGGTCCATTAATACAACTCTTTTTTGATCTTGGGTACCACAATTAATAATGGTTGAGTTATTCTAAATTAGAACTTAGAACTGTTCTAGAACTGATTAGTTGAGAATTCTTTGTGTCACTGATATTGTAATATAGGTGACTTCTTCTATTAGAATGCCCAGGTACCTATCCACCACAAGTCACTTGTCTCACTGCTTCCGTCGCAAGGCTACGAAGGTCGCCAAAGCTGCACCTCGGTACCGGTGAAGGCCCCAAGAGATCTAGGCAATTCAAAAAGGGTTATACTGAACCCCCTTCCAGAGGAAGCTCTGGAAGACTCTTGGGGTGGGTCATCGCTGCGTGATCCATGGAATCCATGTTCCTTTTTTTGGTTCCATTCAAAGATAACCCAACGACACCGGGGAACATCAATCTGGAAAAGCCATTGATATAGATGTGTTTGCCTTGGAAGAACACGGTGCCACGATGTGCCTGGCACCACTTCGATGATTTTTTTGAGGTCCCAAAGAAATTGACCCGCCTTATACGCAGCGTTTGACGCAGCGAAAAATAGCTGAATATTATACGCCTGAAAAAGATATGTATGTTCATTGGTTTCAAATATGTAACTGATGTCCCATGAAAAATAGAGGTGTCCGGTGTCCGTACCCAGGCTGCCGGCGGATGCTAGGGGGTAGGTCACGGTATATCTATCAGATGCAGATGGGTGAACCACCAAACCGCCGACACCGAGGTCCGCACCGGCCACGGCCACGGCCACTGGCTGCCACTGTGTAGGGCCAGAGATGGAAAAACCCAGGACCTTTGCCACCGTGCGCAGGTCCTGATATCCACACAAAGCATTGGTTTAAGGGAACCTCTATAGGAAACCATGGTAAATTTAGCCCCAAATTATCCCAAATTGCGGCTTCGTGTAGCCCGGATCATCAAATCTATGAGCCTTAGGAACTTCACTTGGTACTGTATTGGATCTACGTTGATGAATTTTGTCCATGATCTTATAGGGAGGAGATCTCAAAAAGGAGATCAATCAAAATAAAGCAGGCAAATCTCCCACCACTGCACCACTCCGGTCCGTCCTCATCAACTACACACCTGCGTTCAACGATGAAACTGATTCCGTTTGATGTGTCACACACAATGCAAATGTTCAACAATCTAAGACAAAACGCAAAGCCAAACACCTTTTTTGGCGGTGTTATTCAACGGCCCATTTGCAACCAGAGTTTCAACTGTGTAAGCATCAAGCAAGTCTAGAAGGCTAGCAATGAACCCCTTGCATGTCAAATGTGTCGTCATTTGGTTTGGAAAGCCTATAATCTTTGCATTTTGGGTTCAAAAAAAAACATACGCGCCGAAAAGTGAATGTACGCTGGTTGTCAAAGAATAAGAATATGCTGTGAAAAATGCGGGAGTCTCGTTTCATTTTCAGCGGTCTGGTCTCAATTGTTGGTACATAATCCACCTTGTTTCCCCAGCGGACCTGTCTTGTTTCGAAAGGGCCTGCTTCTGCACGTAAACAATCATGTCACGAATGATACAAAATTCAAAAACATGGGTCTGGGTGAGGCATATCTCCATGCAATGAAAAAAATTGGCTTATCCGCCCAGCAGTGAAAAAGAACTTCAGCCCCAAACATGAACATCCCTGTCGTCGTCATTATCATCATCACCAACACTATACAATCAGAACACTAAATAACAATAATAATAATAAGCATCACCAACCTTGAGCCCCAAACTTGTTTCAGGGTTGTTGGTGGCTAAGACTCGCCCGAAAGAAACCTACCCTTTGATTGTATCTCGCAAGCCCCGGAGGTCGATGCCGAAAAGTGACAATATGTGATAATTATGGGGAAAAACTGCATCCAACTACCCTCTGGTTATGACTAACATAGCCATGGTATAGATGGCCCATAGAAATAGATGGTTTACCGGTTTACCTATTAAAAATGGTGATTTTCCATGGCTATGTTGGTCATAGCCAGAGGGTACCATCCTGGAAACACGTGCTCCCACCCTGCCTCAGCTGCAGCGTCTTGCCTTGTTGCTGTCGCAGCTGTCGCATGCGCAAAGCGTCCAGGAGAACTTTCACCGGAGCTGCTGGGAGGTCCAAAAAAATGTGACCTTGTCCATCCTTGGCGCAACTGGGTAGGTTTTCCATGGTTATATAATCATCATGGGATCATATCATTCAAACGCTGCAAGGTTGTGTCCATGGCTGTGGCAACGTTGCAAGGTTTCGAACCTTTTGTAACTCCACGAGAACCCAAGACTCAAGATATCCAAAGATGATCGATGTCAAATGGGTCACTAGATGTGTAAATATCCGACTTCTTTGGCGTTGAAACGTCGCCTTTTTGTTCGTGAATTGTCAGTTCACCCCAACATGTTTATAACCTTGTAGATTGTAGACCGAAGATTTGGGACTGTGAAGGGGGATTTGTTGTTTTACCACAAGAGAAACGAAGAAAAATGGAACGGCCCCACCCAACACATCAACAATAGTCACTGGCGAAACCATGGCGGGGGATTTTGACAGACCTCTGCGCAGGACAAAACAGGAGGGGAACTACAAAGCACAAGTGGGCGAATGTGTTCGTGAAGATGGTCCAAAATTTGGTTGTGTTAGCAGATGTTAGCAGTCTTGCAGAACCTTTGCAGAACCTTTGCAGAACCTTTGCAGAACCTGCTCACACATCGTGAAGAGGATGGCAATCTTTTTAATTCAGCTCCTCGAGAGCCGATGAAACAGTACCGTAGAGAGGAGAAACGTGTTCAAGAAAACAATGCACAAACAAGTGCATTTTTTACACAAAATTGTTTTTTCACATAAATTTTCTGACAGAAATCCGCGCAGTTTCTAAACTTCTGTCTAAACGTATGCTGACCCGTAAATCCTCCAGTAATCTCTAGTATATATATATATATGTGTGTTTGTTTTTACTTGCATGTGCCAAACATTATTTCCCAAAACGTGTTTCTTTTCTTCTTCCGGTTGCCAGCTTCAAGTTTGCCTTGGGGTATCCGGATGGGGCGATCAACAAGCATCTTTCATGGCAGGAATTGCAGCCGCACTGAGCTCCAGACATTTCAAGAAAGAGCAACAAATAAAATGCCATCATGTGCCATGCTATGCCAAAGTAATCATGCAACTTTAGGGGATCTGGATGCAACCCATTCCCATGCAGCATCTTCCACTTTTGTCGAAGAAAATCATCATGTGCGACGTCTCTTGGCTGGAAAACTCACATCGCATCCGTCATTTTGCACGGCGCCTGCAGCTCCGAAAGATCTTGGAAGCTGCAGATTTGTCAAAGAAATACAACCATGAAAGGCACACGGCCCAATTGTCCTCACTGTTTCAGGGATGGTCAAACTTGTCAAAGAGCTGCAGCCATCAAAAGCACCCCCTCCGATTTCTGTCACTGAGTGCGGGATGTCCAACCTTGTCAAAGAGCTGCAGCCAGCAAAGGCATAGTTTCCAATAGACATCAGACCCGGAAGGAATGTCAAAATCCTCAAAGAGCTGCAGCTGTCAAAGGCGCTATCCTTTATGCATGTCACAGACTCTGGGATGGTCAAAGTTGTCAGAGAGCTGCAGCCAACAAAGGCGCCTTGCCCAATTTGGGCCACAGATGTAGGTATGCTTAAAGTCATCAAAGAGCTGCAACCATCAAAGGTTCCATCCCGAATTTCCGTCACACCATTTGGGATGTCCAAACTGGTCAAGGAGCGGCAGCCAGCAAAGGCATTACGCCCAATGCTCATCACAGACTCGGGGATGCTCAGACTCGACATCAACCCGGCGGTGCATCCCGCCGGAGTCGTTGAGTACATCCTGCAACTTGCCCTGAGGGTTGATGTCGATCAGGCCACCCAGCTTGAACTTGTCGCTGTTGGCTTCCACCCTGGTCATGCCTTCGCCACTCGAGTCGATGGCTGGGAGCTCCAGGTGGATGGCGTCGGGACTGAGATTCTGCTCGTGCGCATAGCGGAGCAGTGCACCCGTGGTGAGGGCATTTGAGCTGCAACTCGCAAATGCCGCCTCTCCGATTTCCGTCACTGAGGAAGGGATGGCCAATCTTGTCAAAGAGCTGCAGCCAATGCAGGCGCGCTTTCCAATGGTTGTCACACCCCGGGGGATTTTCAGGTTCGTCAAGGAACTGCAGCCATCAAAGATGCCCTCTCCGATTCCAGTCACAGCGTCGGGGATTGCCAAACTTCTTAAAGAGCTGCAGTCGGCAAAGGCACCACTCCCGATAGACATGACAGTTGCCGGGATGACCAGGCTTGCTAAGGAGCTGCATCCGCGAAAGGCAGCATGTCCAATTCTTGTCACAGACCTGGGGATGGTCAAAGCAGTCAAAGAGCTGCAGCCGCAGAAGGCACCAATTGAAATTTGAGTCACACCCTCGATGGTCACAGCCCTTAAAGAGCTGCAGTCTCTAAAGGCAAAGTTCCCAAGTTGAGTCACCGAGTCTGCAATATCAACCCGCAGCAGGGCATGGCAACCTTCAAAGCCCCTAGTAGGAATCCTTGTTTGGGGGAAGGGAACGCGTACGTCACGCAAATCCTCCACATGGCAGCCAGCGAGCTCCTTCATGATGCACAGAATGGGCGGCGGCATGCTGAACACAACCTGCACATGCACTCCAACAGTGGGGATTGTCTCTGAGACTATGGCCTCAAGGTCATTCAACTGCTCCCCCTCAACGACAATATCTACAGCGCTGAGCATTTTGGCAGTTTCATCTGTCGGTTGGAAATCCTTCAGTTCTTCCTTCAACTCTCTGATTGTCATGTTCAACGGGATGGGGATGGCGATTCGCCTGCCGTTCAGCAGTTCTGCATTGAAGTTCATTGCCACGGCCGCCATGGCGGGGCCAAACGTTGCCTGGTCTTGATAAAATGCCCTTGAGCCAAACATTGTTTCCCAAACCAAAGATGAACCTTAAGTATCGTTTGCCTTAATTCAAACAGCTGTTGTAATTCAATAACAATTATAGTATGTTATAGTGGTTTGAGACTTCAACTTATATTCAATCCATCTATCTATAACTATGGTTACTAACTGGGTTGGTCTGAAAATAGGCTACCTCAAAATCATTCAAAATCCAATGATTTATCTGAACATGTTTCGAAAATATATGCATGGCAATTTGCGGATAGTATCCACAATTTTCAGACACATCCATATTGCGGGTGCTCCAGGTAGAAGTGGTGTTGTTCCATGAATACCCCCAACTTGTGGGGTGATAACCAAGCTGAAAAAACCTTAACAACCCTAACTGAACCACCAGGTATAAGCTATATTATATATATAACATTATATAACTGGCAATATTCATATGTAACTGGGAGATACTGTCGTTCTTGAGCACTTTCTGTACGGTTTGACTGGAATACCCAAGTGGGTCTGGTTGTCTGTAGGGTTTTCATTCTTGATCTTGGTCTAGTAACTAAAACCACAAGATCACTAGCCAATCAAGTTGTAGTTACTACTACAGAAAATGATAAATGATCTACACCCGCGGTTCATAGATCAGCCTTCCAATATAAATGTGGTCCCCTCTCAACATGGGTCTTTTGTCAATGCCCCTGGCTCATTCCACTTTCCAGCTGAGTGCCGAGATCAGCATATGAACATTAGGGATGAAAAAATATGAATCACTTGAGATCATCATCCAGTTACCCTCTGGTAAACATACAAAAAACTACTGTCAATGGAAAATCACCATGTTTCATGGGTAAATCAACTATAAATGGCCATTTTCAATAGCTATGTTAGTTTACCAGATGGTACAGTTCATGAAAATGTCCCCATCACCCCATTTTTTCTCATCAAAAGAGTCCCTCACTCCAAGGCTCGCGCGGCTTCGCTTTCAGGCCTTCCAAGACCTCTGGGTTCCAACTCAAGAAGCATTGCTCGGAAATGGCCAGCAGCTCACCCCCCACGTTCCTTGGAGCCGATGGGGAAATCCCTGAATCAATCCCGACTGGCTGCGAGGAAATTGGGGAGTAGCATTATTAGACTATCACTCTAATAGGGGCGTAGCATATCCCCCTAGTACTTCATCTTTTTTTCAACCCTGTGCCATGGCGATCTAAGATGATCTACTGTAGTCATTCTGGGGGTCCATACGAAGGGATGTACTTGGATGTACTGCAATTTTGAGATACCCTCTGGTTATGACTAACAGTTCGCCATGGGATTTCGATGGCCCATAGAAATAGATGGTTTACCGTTTTTAAAAATGGTGGATCTTTCCATGGCGAACTGTTAGTCATAACCAGATGGTATATTGAGGGGATGGGACTACCGCAAGGATGTCACCCCAGTTTCTTGCGTGAAAGACGAGGAGAAAACTCCGAAGCGCGGAATCCAGAGAAGAGATTTCTTTGAAGCTTTCTCCAGTGGTGAAATGGGGATTTCCCGCGTAGGAAAAAAAACCAGGCACCTTTTTTGCGTCTTCGAAGAAAAGTCACGTTGGTTTCGATCAAGTCTTTCCTGGGGTTTCACCCAACCTTCTTATGTTTCCGCGGTGTTAGGTTTCCTGAAACTAGCGCAGCCCCAAATTCTGCAGACAATGAAGCGGCTTCGGGTGGGAAAACAAATCGTTGAGGTCGTGAAATACCCTGCTCAAGGGAACACAGCGTTCAAGGGAACATTGCATGGATCATAAGTTATCGGATGTTCTCTTTAGCCTTGAAACCACCAGTTTTCCGAAGTCCAAAATGGCTTGGTATCACCAACCAGTCTTTATGTTGGGAATTTACAGTTGGATCGCTTCATATCATCGAAATCATTATCTCAAAATGGTACACTTTCTATATTCATATGTATATTACTATATACAAAGAAATATAATATATATATACATATGTTAATATCAGAATATATATATTAATATATTATATATATATATATCTAAATCATAAATATCACGTAGATTTACACAAGACTCCAAGCCCATCCCCAAGCCCATTCCCGTCCGGGCATCAATTCCAACAGTTCCGCTGACGCCTCGATTTGATCTAGGCCGCGAGGCAGCGATTGGAGCTGGGCCATCTCTTCCTGCAGGACCTTCGCGAAGCGAGGTCCCGGGCCTTTGGGGAGGCCTCGGGGGAGCGCGAAAAAATGGGGAACGCCAAAAACTGGGACTTCTTTTGTAGGGGGAGTTAGATGGAGATATGAAAGCAGCAAAGATGTGGCGATTTGCTGGTGAAGATTGAGATATTGGTTTATGATGGTTTATGACTAGAGAAAAACTAGGAGACGAACTAGTTGGATGAGGTTAGAAACCAGCTTAATTATCAACTTATAAACCGATCAGAAGATATCAGAAGCTACAACTCAGTGCTGGCTGCTGGCCCATGACCTGCTCACTCCAGGAGCCTGGGTAAAGTCTCCGGTCTCCTGACACTCCTGACCTGGCCTTCAGGATCGCATTGAGAGGGCAGTTCTTGTACTCCAGTTTCCGAAAAGTGGGCCCAACTGCTTTCATGTCCACCATGTGAAGGTGCAAAGAGTTCACCTCTGGCGTTCGCTGGGGCTATTTCTTTTGACCGATGGATCGTTTTTATGGACCGGGAAATCAGAATATGGAGCCAAGATAACATTAGTGGTCAACTGGAAACCTTGGAAGCCAAGAAAACAGTCCTCTTCCATCAACGCATCTATCTTTACTTCCCATCAGTGTGTTCTTTTCCATCTATTTCCCCTCGTTATTTACTGTTCCATCTATTTCACCTGATTAGTGCCCTTATGTCAAGCCTTATGCTATGCGTGGCTCCAAAATGAGCCGTGCCATTTTGGCTGGTTCAATTAGCATTTTTCGTGCTGACAACCTATATCAACCATGTAACGGAGGTGACCATCACTTCAATCAGCATTTCTACCTAAACTGCCCAAAAAACACTTATAACTCACAACCATCAGCATTTTCTACCAATCATCTCTCCTCAACTATCCCCAACCAAAACCATCCAACACCAACGAAAAAAAATCACCACATCAAACTCCCCCAATTGTTCTCCAAAGTCACCGAGTTGTGCCCAAAGACGTGGAAGTAGAGCCCTAGCTGTTCAGACCAGCCCTGTTGTCGCCTGCCACCCACGTAGGTCACCGCTGCACTGCGAAGGTCCTCCAGCAGCTGGATGGCCTCTGACAACGCGGCGCGGAGATCGGACTCGTCCGTCATGCCTGGGACGATGGGGATGGGGGAAGTGTTCCATGGATTTCTGTGGGGGAACTGCTGCACTGTTTGGCATTTCGGGAATCTTTGGTGGTTTTCTTGGCATTTTTCGTGGAGTTTTCAGGGACTTCGGGAGGACATTGGTGGATGACTGGTGGATTCTGATGGATGACTGGTCACTTTTCTGGTGAATTCTGGTGGTTGTTGGCCATTCACATGACATCCTTCTCCAATCCCAGGTTGAAGGGAAAATGACATGCAGAATGCGGTAAACCCAAGGTCATAAACCATCCCAAAACCCATCCATCAGGGGGTTCTTTTAAATCATCCCAGTCATGGGGGTATAGCCAAGAAAAGGACCAACCAATAGAGGTTGTAGAGTATAAATCATTATAAATCCAATAGGGGTGTCCTGTGATGTGATGTACCCAATGCTTCTCCCAATTTCATAAGCCTCAGACTCTGGGATGGCAATTCAACGCACTGAAATCCTCTTAGTAACTGATCGATACGCATTCTGAAAGAATACGAAAACGAGTACCCTCAAATGGTATTTTATCGCTGGGGAAAATCAACGAACTAAATAAATGGATACAAATGGGCAATTTTCCAGCAAGCCATAGATGGTAGCATCTACATAGATCAGAAACAGCAAGCCGGGAAGGAAGTCCACTGAAATAAACGGTGCTGATGTCAACCCAGTTTAGAGCACATTAGTTCTGTTTCGGTATTTCATTGTACTGTTTGCAGTTATTATCCCCAGTTATCCTGGATATATTCCCTGATTTCCCTGGTCTCGGCCCCTTTTCCATGCTGAAAAAATCAGGACCTGCTCTTCACTTCACTGGTTGCTATGGTTTTTCCAGACTTTGAATGGGAGAAGATTGAACACAGATCTATACATTCATTGATTCCCACTTCCTTGGCAGAATCTGTTGCTTGATTTTGTGGCTTCAGCTTGGCGTATCCCCACACAATCCAAGCAGCCTAGGGTCAGTGCGTTGAAAAAGCTCCATCGAAGATCCTGATTTCACGGGGGAAAGCGCCTCGAGACGTGTCCCAAGCTTTGGCTTTACGGCACACGAAAAAAAATTGGAGGTATACACCCATTTGATCCAAGTTGTTTCTTTAATATAGTTGAATTCAAAAAAAAAACGTGGTTGATATTTAAGCATCTATTACCCTCTGGTAATAGCTGACATAGCTATTGAAAATGGCCATTTACAGTGAGTTTTCCCATTAAACATGGTGATTTTCCATAGTTACGAAAAATTACCAGAGGGTAACAAACCAGCCAAAAAAATTATGGGGGTCCATCAGCCAATGCTGCCATCCCCCTGTTCCACCTTGGTCGTCAAAAATCGATGTCTCGCCGCCATCGAGGCTTTGCCCAACCATTCCGGCTCCTAAAATCGGTCGTGGCTCATGGGACCATGGCATGGCTTTCGGATGGCCTAAAAAAAAGGTGCTTAAAAGGCTTGAAAACTCGAGATTCATGGGGATCTATCCATCTATCCATCCATCCATACATCCATCCATCCATCTATTTATATATATATAAACACCAGATATTACCAGATTATAAGGGGCTTAAGTTAAAACTCAAAGTCGCCAGTTCCAATAGTTCCAACATTTGGTGCTTGCACCCTTTTTTTTGTTGATATTTTCCCCCTTGGAGTGCAGAAAGTCATAGAAAATCATCCCAACTCTATCGCCTCCTGTGGATCTGGGTGCCCATGGGTGCCCCAAAACGACCACTCCATTGGGATCCAGTGAGGCTTAGTCCAGAAGGGGACCCAACTGTTGATCCAAAAGTCTCCCCAAAATTTTGGCACCTCTGAGTCCCAATGTTCATCGTTCTCCGGGCGATTTTTGCAGACCACAAAGCGCTCTCCATAGCTTTGCAATGCCGCCTGTTCGTCCTCCATGCCTCCGGGGAATTTTTGGCCCGACGATGAAGAACATCTGGTCTTAGTTGGGAGTTTCACTACACTTTGTCCAGTTTACCCTCTGGTAATTTAACATAGCTATTGAAAATCACCATTTTTAATGGATAAATCAACTATAAATGGGCCATTTTCAATAGCTATGTCAGCTATTACCAGAGGGTATGATTTTTCGGGCTTGGATACCCACGTGGCGGAAAGCAAATAATCATCCCAGATCTACCAGGAACTGCTTTCTGTGTACCCCAACTGCCACGGGATGCCGGCCCCCCCATGTAGACCCAAGAAGGACTCATGATTCTTCAGCAGACTCCTCACAAGTCCCCAGAATTGAAAATCTGTACACTGCCGAAAGCTAGCTTGCCAACACTGCAAACAGCATATTCAACCTCTCTCCTGTGAGAGAAAGCTGAAAACTCATGAAAACTCCATATTATCGTGCATGGAAAGAACCTTTCCACTGGTGGAACATGGCTGGTGCACACGATGCAAACCCAAGTGGTCTTCAATCAAGCACCAACTAGTGTGGAAAGGAGACTACAATAAATATTTAAACTGTAGGGCCAGTGAGAAGCGGACCAGCAAGTGCCTTCACAAGCCATCCAGGCGACACATGGCCCATAGAAACGGAAGATTGCTGCCGGCTCTCCAGTGGGAGACTCCGAAGCTTCACACGTTTCACGGTATTTTCACATACTGCTCTCAGCTAAGCAGGCTTCGCTTTCCAGCAGTCCAAAGTCCCTGCGGCGTTTCCGGCTCACTTTCTCTTCCAGGATCACTCCATTAGCATCGATCATTTCCAAGAACCGCTGCAGCGATGCTTCTGGCGAGTTGGCCTCCTTCAAACGCTTTCTCTCGTCTTCCACCTCAACTTCGTGCATTTGGATGCTGTCGAAGCTCACTTTCTTGCAGCCAAAGCTCACCTGGTTGCTGGCTTCAACCTGAAGAATATACCGTATAATACCCCCTTGAACAATGGGACTGAAAGGAAAAACATTACATTCAGGGATGACAAAACATCAAACATGTTTCAAACCACTTTTCGCAGTCACTTTCTTGGATCCCTTCTCGACCACCTGCAGCTCCTTACCCTTGCAGGGAGACAATGTGGTCGTGTACTCGATCGACTGGATGCTACCTGAGCAGCCCATTGCTGGAAATCGAGTGGGCGGAGGTGATCGACCCTGCACTTGAGCCGCTATCGCTGGACTCTGCCCACCCACATGACAGGATCAGGGTACGGTGTCTGCGTCAGCCCATTGAAATTCGTCATGCATGTGATCTGCACTAACACCATGGGTCTCACCATCCGAAAATGGGAGTGGCCATGAGTAGCCTCCAATTTTGCCATGAAAACACAGTTTTGGACTTCACCAACAACCTAAAATTCGTGGATGTCCCTAAGAAAATCCCTTAGGCCCTAAGGAAAGGTCACCCAACCTCAGGCAAACCGCTGACCTCGCCCATCCCTGGCCTGGCTGCTGCATTTCCCCGCTGGCGATGCGCGCGAAGAGGTTGAAAGGCTTGGTGCCCGTGGTCCTGCAGAACTGTCCAGTTTATCCAGTTGAGATCTTTAGAATTCTTTAAACATTTCAAAAATATAGGACCTATATAGGATCAGCATGGATCATCCAAGTGTTTGGGCATTTACTATGATGACATATGATGACTACTATAGGTTTTTCCAAGATGCATCCATGAAATGGGTCACAAGATGTCATCTTAAATCACATGTGGCATGTGGGAAGGTCATCTACAAGTCGTTTTCTGAATGGCTTCTGCGGGGTCGGATTATCCCAAGCCATTTCTGCAAGGTTTGGAGCTCCAGGATGACATCCCAAATGTTGTTTCACGTTCGGTCAACATTCCCTGTGTTGGTCACTGTCTCAACTCATCTCAACTCATCTCAACTCATCCCAATTCATCTGTTCCGCCTAAAGCTAGACAAGAAACTGACCAAAGTCCCAACTTTGGGACACTTTGAACGCCAAAGCCATGACGTCAGGGTTGAAAAAATCAACCCGGATTTTACAACCAAGAAGCCTCTCATTTTGGGATCCAAACTTTCCCTGGATCAATCTGGTTGATCTAAACATCACCAAGCCTACCCTCCGGTAATTTAACATAGCTATTGAAAATGACCCAGTCGAAATAGTGGATTTTCCCATTGAAAATGGTGGTGATTTTCCATAGCTACGTTAGTCATTACCAGAGGGTAAATGGTCGGTGATGTTGGGATTCCGGAAATCCCAACCAGCAGCTCGCTGCTGCGGGCAGTAACTTCTGCCAGATCCATTCCAATCCATCCCTTGAAACACCATGACTCTTCGTCAATGCCTGGGAAATTTTACCCATCCAGAACTGATTGGTGGTTGAGCCCTACCCCTCTGAAAAATATGAGTCAGTTGGGGCTATTATATCTATTATTCCCAAGATATGGAAAGTCATAAAATTCCATGGTTCCAAACCAACCAGAGAAAGTTCTGGGAATATCATTGCAGGGAACATCCCCAGCCATGTTCGATGCCGAGTCACAGCTTCCCCGCTTCATCGATGAAGCCCGCGAAGCTCAGTTCCGCCTTCAGGGACGCGCAGCCGCCGTAGTCCTGGAGTGCTTCATATCTGAGGGTGGGAAAGTTTATCCCGTAAACTAGGAATATGGCAGTGGGTCTAAACCTTGTACCCCTCGTGAACATCAAAATAGCTGGTAGATGGATGTTCATTCCCCTAAAAATGGTATTAATAGGTATTGATCCATACCCATATGCATTCAGCCAAAAAATGATTCGGAAGAGTTTCCCCAAAATTTGATGGATCACTTGGAGATTATGGATCGAAATCCTGGGTTCTTTGGTGTTTTACCCTCTGGTAATGACTAACAGTTTGCTATGGAAAATGGCCCATTTATAGTGGATCTGCCCATTAAAAATGGTGATGTTCCATAGTTTTTTGTATGTTTTTTGTATGTTTTCCCAGAGGGCAACTGGTTTTCACCTCCAACCAACTGCTCGTTTTCCGCGCCGCGCCGCGCCTCGCGCAGGATGCGTCGCGCCTCGCGAAAGGCTCCGGCGTCCCTGAGCACGGGGACCCGCTCCACGAGTTCCTCCTTCAAACTGGTGGCCCCGCCTGGGACCATGGCGATCAACCAACCAACCAACCAACCAAGCGTTTGGTAAAAGCCAAGCCAGCCCAAAAACTGGAGATCCTGAAAAGGGTTTTTTCTTGATTGAGTATAAACCAGTGTATTCTCCAGCAAAAGAATAAAGTACTGAACTACCTATGCTTGTGGCACTCTGTGCGGGGGAAGATCATCCTCAAGAAATCGTGGGAGAGCTATCATGGCTGATGTTTTTGAAGCTGTTTTCAAGAATCCTCAAATCAAAAATGGTACTGAGCGATCACAAATCGATGTTAGAATTCTTAGAATTGCTATTATTCATAGCCAAATTCCCAATTGAAGTGATTCCTTTGGGAATGTTTGGCACGCCTCTCATAAAGGGACCAGCTCAGGACTTTACCCACAACATCGTGTCGGCCAGCATATTTCAGGTCAGTCAAATCATTAAATGTATCGAAAATCATACTTGCTGATCCATCCCAATTTTCGAAATTACATAAAAGGTCAAAAAATTATAGGTCCTATAGGTCTGTTATGTCAGAAAATTATAAGGTCCTTTTTGGGTTTTGAATGGTTTAACGATCCCCATGGGATATCATGTGACCCGGGAATCTTGTCCCATCCCATCCCAACCAACCGCACCTGTCCCTCGGAATCCACCCCTGAGATCCGCAAGTCGCGCGGAGCTCTTCGTGGCGGCAGAGCGGTCCACCACGGAAATGCGCTGAAGCGAAGTCTCCTGCGCCTCCTGCGCGGGGAAAGAGACATGTTCCAGCATTTTCCCATAGAATCAATGGTCATTGGGATATGTTCCATCATTTTCCCATATTTTCGATGGTCATTGGGATGATTTAGGGGGAAAAACTGAAGGAAACCATTGGTTTTCCCATAAGAAATGGGTGGTTTCCCCGCAATTTTTGTTCCTGAAACCAATCCAAAGGAAATGGAATCTGTTCATATTTCCGTGAAATTTCAAGACATTGATGGCTAAATTTGATGGGATTCATGGAGGATTGTTTTCCACGTAAAAAGACGAAAACAAGCCTTATTGCTTGGCGAATGCTTGGGGATGGTTTAAAAACCAAGCACCATCCCTTTTGGACATGTTGATCATTTACCATCTGGTTATGACTAACAGTTCGCCATGGAAAATCCCAACCATAAATGGAGGTTAAAATCGCTGGGAAAATCATCTATTTCGACTAGGGCCATCTATTTTCCATGGCGAACTGTTAGTCATAACCAGAGGGAGATCTCTCCTTTCAAGGTTCTCTTGGCATTTTCTGGGATCTCTTGGGGCGATTCTTAAAAATTGAGGCTTAGGCTCTCAGACTTCCTTCGACGCCACTCTCCAGCAATGGTCATAATGCAGTCACCAACCATTTACCCTCTGGTAAACTAACATAGCTATTGAAAATGGCCATTTATAGTGGATTTACCCATTAAAAATGGTGATGTTCCATAATTATGTTAGTTTACCAGAGGCTACATAAATGTCCATGATCATCCCATCATCCCCCTGGTGAAACTTGGGACCTTGGCCTCTCATAAAATCGGCACCCCCGTGGGCTGTACCAACAAAGGTCACCCCTGACGATGCTCCTCCTGCAACAGCTTCACGACCGCGTCCAGGGGGCAGTTCTTATGTTGCTGCGCCTGAGGGGGCTTTTTGTCAAGTTCCTGTTGGAGACACCGATTCTGAAAAGGATCAAGTTCCTATTGCAGATACCCTCTGGTTATTTAACATAGCCATGGTATAGATGGCCCATTTATAGATGGTTTACCTATTAAAAATGGTGATTTTCCATGGCTATGTTAAATAACCAGATGGTAATATGTTTATCTCTTGATTTTACGGTGTCCAAGTTTTTCCCGCAACTGTTTGATCCATGGGGGTGTTCAAATCAAAGTCAGATGACCCATCCTGAGCCATTCAGAAAGTCAAGTGGTCTATGTTTGGGCATGATTCAAACAAACCCTAACTTTCCAGTTACCTCTGAGATAGGTAACAAGCGTGATTATACCAAACCTGATTTGGGGTTGGTTGCCTATTTGACAGGCAACTGGAACATGAGAGAATCATAAAACAACTGGTTTGTCAGGATTACCCTCTGGTAATTTAACATAGCTATTGAAAATGGCCATTTATAGTGAGTTTTCCCATTAAAAATGGTGATTTTCCATAGTTATGTTAGTTTACCAGAGGGTAACACTTGTTGCAAGGCATCTATCATCAACAACTTGACAAGTTGGTTGGTGGCCCATTTACTTCGCCGTAGCTGTGTTAGTTGACCAGCTCGACGACGAAACCCGCACCTTGTAGCTGGGGCCGACCTCGGACAGATCGATGATGTGGATGAACAGCGAATTCCTGGGGATTTTGGGCAGACCTGGTCGTGTTCTGATGAAAAACCAAAGCTGAAGAATCCACTCCATCTGGCATTAAGATGCATTAACACTTCAATGATAATTCATGACAATTCATAATACATCCCCAAGTCAGGTTTCAGGCCCGCTAGGACCCGCTAGGATGGTTTCTTTCCTACTTATATAATCCAGGCTCAAAGATACAAAGATGAACTTCTGATTTCTTACTCCTCGGTTGATGTTTCACTTCACCCTGAAATGTTCAAGTAGCACCCCCCCAAAACTGGTGGACCCAATGAACTCCTCTGCTTGGTTTTTTGGTTCATTTCCTCCAACCAGTCCCAAACATCGCCGAGGGTCACATTGTTGTGCCCGAAGATGTTGACAAAGAGTCCCACCTTTCCAACAGAGTCGAAGTCTTGGACAGAATATGCCATGGTTCTTTGCTACAAGAAAAATGGGGATTACCTGTTAATGATGTTCCCCAAAAAATCCAACTCTGGACGTCTCAGGCACCAACTTCCATTCCATCGGCAGCTGGATCTTCCACAAACCATAGCGGGCTGTAACCCCAGAGTTGCAAAACATCTACATTCATTTCATCTAAGCATCTGGCTAAATCATCATAATTCATTCACCTGAAAAATCAGGTCATTTGGGATGATAACTATAACTATATGTCATGAACTATATCATGTTCGTCTATATTATTACTATTAACTATTATTGTTATTTTTATTATCATTAATTATTATCCTTATTATTATCATTATTATTATATATATAATAACGTTTGGGGATGATAACTATATCATGTTCATCAAATGTCCATCGAAGTATGGCCATTTCTTCAACAACTGCAAGGTCCAGCCAGGGCCCCCCAGCCAGGGCCCCAGCCAGGGCCCACCTCCTTCGACCAGCCAGGGCTGTGCTCCACATATCTCATGGCTGCAGCTTTCATCTCCTGGGATGAGTTTTTCCCAGGATTGCTCTCTAGTAAACTATCAATGGATTGGTTTAAGGGAAAATCTACAGGAAACCATGGTTTTTACCATCAAATATAGGGGTTTCCTGTAAAATTTCCCATCATCCAATTCTATGAAACTACCCTCTGGTACACTAACATAGCTATTGAAAATGGCCCAGTCGAAATAGTGGATTTACCCATTAAAAATTTAGTGATTTTCCATGGCTATGTAAACGTTTACCAGAGGGTACCATAACTGGAAAATCAACACGTTCAATAGGTAAATCATGTTAAATCAACTATATTCAACTAAAAGCGGGCCATGTTCAATAGCTATGTGAGTTTACCGGGAGGGTATATAATTCCAAAAAGTGGATTCCCAAATATGCCCCAATGTGTTTTCGATGATGAATTTCTAATGTCTCTTTTCGATTCGGAGAAGTTGCCCATTCGAACATTGGAACATTGGGATCTTAGAAAGCGGCATCACTTTCGATCAGGCCATAGCACTGGTAAACCATCTCTAAACTTGATCTTCTTGGGTGTAAATTAGGGTCTACCCTCTGGTAATGACTAACATAGCTATTGAAAATTACCATTTATAGTTGATTTACCTATTAAAAATGGTGATTTTCCATAGTTATGTTAGTTTACCAGAGTGTACCCCCCAATTTTCAGAACCATTGTCCATGGGGAAAATGATGAGATGTCGTATGCAAATGTGTACAATCCACTGGAAGCAAGGGTACCCCCATTGTCAGGTACCAAACCCAACTTATCCCATAAAACTCCCTTGGAATCCCGTGGGCTCACATAGTTATATCCCATCAAATCCCCTTAAAATCCTGTGAAGCCCCATCAAAATCCTATCAAATCCCCTTCAAATCCCAGTAAATCCCCTTAAAATCCCAGCAAACTCCCGGTAAAATCCCTGCACCTCCACTTCCTTCAGCGCTTCCGCAGGAGTGCAACCTTCACCTTCGCAAAACATGGGAAGCGGTCCTCGAGAACAACTCATCTGTGCCATTCATTGGATGTTCTTAGTGGGATTTCATAGGACTCATAGGACTCATAGGACTCATAGGACTTGATTTTTCATGGGATTTGAATGTGATTTTTAATGGGTGTTAAACGGAATTTGATGAAACTTTCGTGGGATATGTTCATCAAAAGCTGCTCCCAACACAAAAAAAGATGCAGCGGCTATGATTCGCCAGAAATGGTTTGGGGCAACCCTGATTTGTATATAATATGTAAATGATATGTATACCAAAAAAAAACTAATATTACTATCTTGTATAGATAATAATCAGTATAATGAAGTATAATGGATATAACCATAATATACCATAATTGTATAGTATGGGATGACCATAACGGATTTACCATTTTTTGGCCACGGCACATGCAATGATGCAAACTCAAAGGCAGAAATAACTATGACTACCATTTGGGGGTGGTATAATGCCACCCATTTTTGGTAGTTGGGGATTGCTGAATTGTTGGGTTTACCACTTGAGATCCTTAGCTCTGAGAATGCATGAAATTGTTGTACACTGGTTCTTGTGCACGGACATTGTTGTTTTTTGTGCCCATGTTTGTTGGCATGCCTTCAACCCTGAACTTACAAAGTTCGAGGGTTTGATCATGTGAATTCTTCTAAAACCATCAGAGGTCGAGAGATTCCACGGCCACCACAATTTTGTTGATTGGAAAATGAAAAAGATCCGGAAACTAAACAACCAACAAGTTCCACTCTTAGGAATCAAATCTGCAGTTGTCCAATATTTTTTTGATCTTTTTTTGTGAAACAACCTTTCTTTTGTGTCCAAGCTGAATCTCTTCCCAGACACCCAACTCTGCGGCCATACCGAAGACCAAAGGATTAAACCTGGGCCAATTTATTGAAGGCACCGAGGGACTGGATGAAAAAAGGTATGGAAGTGATGTTAGAGCATGTTTTGAATATACAGTATGTTAGTAGACATGTATCTAAATATATAATAGTATCTATATATATATAGTATAATAACTAAATATACATATATATATATGAACTTTTAAATATATATATATATTGTTTGTTTTTATATATATATATATATATTTTATGTATACGTTTGTTGTAGTCATATGATTTATCTTGTATGCTAGATCTTAGATACTGGATATCACATTTTAACTTGACAGAATCTTGGATACTAGAATGATTCCAATGCAAAATTGATTCCTATCTAATTAGTAGGTTCCCTGCACAAGTGCGGACTCGGAATATTTCACCCGGTTGACTGGCAATACAGGAGTTGGTTTCATCATCTTTCACCCCCGGGTTCGAGATTTGGGGCAACTGTTGCTGAGACATCCCCCTGGATGCCCTGAGCGCAGCACCACTGCCAGTGCAAGTCCTAGCGGAAACGAGCTTAACTTGGATGAAGATGGCCGAAGATTCAGGCTGGCCATGACCAAACACTTTGCTTGGAATTGGTAAGCTACAACCTTGACCATAGGCCAAACAATTCCCGAAAAGCATCCCAAGCTTCCTAACAATCAATCACACTCTACGACCCGGTTTCTCTTCCAGCTCTGGCCTGCCACTGCTCGAGCAGTTTTGTGACCGCGCCCTTCCTGTGCAAGACGGCATCTTTGTGCCTGCGGAAGCTCCAAGGTCATGCGCCAGCGATGTGTTTGCTGCAACCGGCGTGCTTTGCTGTTGAAGATGCAAATGTAGCGGCCATGAAGCCGATGATGGAGCTGCTGGTTGTGATTCACTTGCCGTAAGGGCTCTGTGCTTTACCGGCGTCTCTCTACAGAAATATGGGGGTGCATGCATTCGGGCTCACAGGCGTGCTTGTCACGAAGCCTCTATTGCATGTGTGATATGTCTCCCAGATGTGTGTATGTTCTCAGCGTCTATAGGCACTTGTCAGTTAAATTCTAGCAATTTCTTACCCATATTCCAGGGCCGATCATACTTCATGCCAAAATGGGAAATCTACAAAACTGCATGGACCCCATTGAAGTGAAATTTGGGTTTCATGATGTTTGCCAGGCGCACCTTTTCTTCTGGCATGCACATTTTCAACTGCACCTGTTCCTGCCCAAAAAAATCCTTTCTTTCAGCAAAATTCCGAAAGTACTGTCACTTTGATACAAGAAACATTTGCGAGCACACAGCCATTGTTTCCCAAACGACAGACTGTCAAACCGTGGAGTACGATAACACGCTGGAGTGCGATAATTTTCTGGTATGCGAAAAAAATGAATATGTATGGCCCCCTTAGACCTTCCCAAGAGGCCCTACTCTGCTACACCATTCACAAGTCGTTTTCACATACCAGAAAATTTTCCCACTCTGCCCCACCGACCCTGCTGGAGTGCCAAAAATTGAAAAAAAAAATCCAGAAGCAAAAACAGCATGGAACGCGATAGAATGTGAAAATGCTAATGACTCAGGTGGGAAATCCATGTTGCCCATATTCCAGAAATATGTGATTCCAGGCTGTTTCAGCTTAAAAAAGAAAGAAAAATGTTGGCTAATTTCCGGAAAAACCTGACATACGTTCCAGTACCTAGTACGATGATTTTGCAGAATGCGGTGGTATTGTGCAGCGCGATGATTTCTGAGTATGTGTACTCACACGCTGTGCAGTGCGATGACACCTGTGGAATGCGAAGATTTTGCGCGGTGCCATGATTTCTGAGTATGCGTGGCTGGAATAAAGACGAAATAAGGGGATATGTCCTTCAGGGCCACCACCAAGAGTTCCAATCCCGCAGCCAGCCCAACACCAGTGTTTTGTTGTTTTCTGTTTTCACCCCACGCAATATTTCACACAGGTGGGCAACCATGCTAAAGACGCAATGGTGCACTGCCTGACAGTTCTCCTCAGCTGTTGCCGCCGATGTCGCCATGGCCTGCGTGCACAAAACGTGTCAAGGAAGAAACAGCAGCTGAAAGCAAGCCAACTGACTGGCCTCTCAGCTGTGGTCTGCGTCTTTCCCCGTTTCTCTACCCTTCCTTCTTTTGATCTCTAAAGAGCTGCATATGTCGTTGTTGCAATGGCTTGCGCTGCCCTTTGCAAACAAGAGCTAGAGTGTGTCGGCCAAAAACGAGCAGAGCAAACGGGAGGAGCAGAACACACACCTTTTAGCGGCTGCCATGTACTCAACTCCATTTGGTCCTATAACCACCGTGCGGAGAGTACTTTTACACTTGCTTGCCTGCTACAGCAGCCTCCACGGCTGCTGTTTCGCAAGCAGCATGAAAGAGTTCCCAAGCGTCAATGCCGCCGCCACTGCTCAGAGATGGGATCCATACCAGATCTTAGGTGAAAACAAGGAGGAGCAGCAAACTGCCATCAAAATCAACATGTCATGATTACTGCAGCCGAAGAGACACGAGAGCAGGTTCACCTTGTGCATGATTCGATCCACGCGAGATACCAGGGGGCTCTGCGGGTCACAGGCCAAGCCGTGCATCAATGCCTCAACGCACATAAAATGCATTTGGACAGACATGATGTCAAAGGTGTTGCTGCAGCCAAGCAGCGCAGTCAAGCAAGCAGCCCACTGTGCTTGGACTGCTCGCTCGGGTTAAGAAGGCCGGAGCCAGGAGGCAGACTGTCCGCAGACAGTTTTTCTGCCCCGCCTGGCTCAGCGCCGAGGTGTGAAATCTCTCGTGCAGCGGTTCTCGCCTCAAAGACGGACAAAGCAAACGGAGCTATGTCATTTGCTCAGTGCTGAGATCATTGCTCTGTTTTTGGCAAGTCGATGACTGCCGTCAGCCAGTAGTGCAGCACGGTTGTGTCCTTACGCAGAGCAACAACTCCACTTCACACCACTTCCCTCTGCGTGTCTCGCTCCTTGCTGCCCCCTGCCTTCTCAGCCGCGATGGAATGGACCTCTGCCTTGATGCCGCTATAGAGCAACTGGATTGCGCGGCACCGATCGATGCCTTGCAGCTGTTTCACTTTGCCTTCCAAGGGTCTTGGGGGTAATAGCAGGCGTCCGGGCTCATTGCTTCGCAATGGGCTCCGGCGCGCCCTTTTGGCGCTTCTGTGCGGAAGTGAGCTCGAATACATGCACCCCCGTATTTCTGTAGAGAGGCACGGGTAAAGTACGGAGCCCTTACGACAAGTGAATCACAACCACCAGCTCCATCATCGGCTTCATGGCCGCTACATTTGCATCTTCAACAGCAAAGCACGCCGGTTGCAGCAAACACATCGCTGGCGCATGATTATGGAGCTTCCGCAGGCACAAAGATGCCGTCTTGCACAGGACAGGCGCGGTCACAAAACTGCTCGAGCAGTGTCAGGCCAGAACTGGAAGAGAAACCGGGTCGTAGACCGTGTCCTAGCCGTTTCTCGAAGTGGTTGGAAGCCCCAAAAAGATCCAAAAAACTGAAAATAGACAGACTGGTCTATCCAATACATTCCAATCAAAACACCCAAACTTCACCATTTTCAGCCCAGTCAGCAACACAAGTTCTCCTTGGTGGTGAGAAAACGATGGCGTCGAGACATGGAGGCCTTGCCGCTCCATCGAACGTCCTTGGAATCCTCAGTGCGCACGGGATTCCAAGCATTTGCATGTATGGTAACCCCAACAAAAATAGAAAAACCTGGTTTCCCCCCTTATAAGTTAGTGAATTTATAGTATAATTTAGTCTAGTTTTACTAAATTCTAAGTTTTTGAAAGGTGCTGTGATATGCATGTAACAATGTACATATTACAATATCATTCAGGGCAAGGATCCATGGCTCACAAGGGCCTCATGACCGTTCAGCCCAGGCACCCATTGCAGATCGTTCTCAGGGCGATTACGGCAGATCAAGAATTTCCTCAGCAAAATTGTCCGAAAACTGTCCCAATACCATCTTGCCACACCATAATATGTGCCGCCAAATACACAGAAAAAGACTCTGAAAAAGTGGTGTCTTATCAAAATAGACTCTGATGAAGTTGGGTGAGTTGGGTGGTCCCCAAGTCTTGCAACAACTTTGGTCGCACAACCCTGTCGAGCCATCACTAGGCCGAAAACGTTGTTATCATGCTCGGGTGGGCGGAAAAATCTCAGCTATCTCAGCCAAAAGTCTCTTTGAAAGTTCCCAAGGCCTCTTGTTCAGACTCCATGTCCGGCTGCTTCAAAAGCCTTGGATACAACATGTGTTGGGTCCCAAGCCCTTTTTTTTATGCAACATGCTCAAGAAAAGGGTTCGCTTTCCAACCTACTGGCCCTTCGACAATCTGACTTTGCAATAGTGTGGCAACCTCTTGCAATCATTTTGTTTAGATGAATGTCATTCTCAAGAATATGACAACATGTATGGTGCATAGACGCATGTAACTTGTGTAACATAATTGAAAACTATATGTCAAATTTACCATACACATACATACACATGTATACACATGTACATTTATCATTAAACCCCAATGCTGATTCCCTTGCGTAGGACCTCCACCACGCCCGATCCGGGTGACCCCCCAGCAGCGCGCGCGAGGACGTTGAAAGGTTTTTCCTCCGTGGTCAAAAATCCTGCAGCTCCATCGGTCCATCCGTCGGGAAGAAAAGAACCATTGGATATTGGATCCATCGGATGAAATGGGAGATACCACATAGCTATTGAAAATGGCCCATGTATAGTGGATTTACCCATTAAAAATGGGGATTTTCCATCGTTTTTTGTTAGTTTACCAGAGGGTACACTTGGCTTCTGTGGGGATGTTTTCGGAATTTTCCCCACCTTTGAAAGTTTCGAATCTCAAGGTTTTATGTCAGCTTGCTCCAAAAAGTGCAAATCACATTTGAATGGTTGTCCCAAGGTTGCAACGATGAGATTTTGATGATGTTTGTCGTTGTCGGCGCTTTCCATTTTCCTTTTAAAGTTCCTTTCAAAAAGCTTCAAAATCGTACCATTTTTTTTGCCGTTGGCGCCAAGATATCCAGTTTTGGAGCAGGTTTTGGATCTGATGTCAGACAGAACGCCATGTTTTACCAATGTTAAGTCGGATTTTGGAAAAATGTGTCAGGTTAAAAGTTCAGAATATATGTCAGCTGGCAGGGATCATGAACGAAGTGAAGGATTGCTGGGACTGTGGAAACAATGGGAATATTCATAATATATATATATATGCAAATATGGGATATAACAAACAATATGAAGTTTGTTGTTTTTTTTGGAAATTGCGGATTTATCCCCAAAAAAGATTGAAAAGTTAGATTTTTTGTGGTGGAAACAATGAGAAACCACTGGATTTGGGAAAGAAAAATTTCTGTCGCCACTGGATCTGGGACAGCTTGAATAAGGTTTCACTTTGAGATCGTCAGCCAAGTTGAAAGCTAGAAAATGGGGCATTTAAGGTTTGCAAGTGTTACTGTATATTTCTTGCTGCGATGATTGATACCCTCTGGTAATTTAACATAGCTATTGAAAATGGCCCAGTCAAAATAGTGAGTTTTCCCATGAAAAATGGTGGATCTTTCCATAGTTTTTTGTTAGTTTACCAGAGGGTATCTAGAAAGATCCTAATCTCCGGAAACTGGAATCCCCTGCCTGCATTGTCTACGAAGCCTGCATTCATCAGCTCCAGTTTCCTCACCAGAGACGCGCATGCGAAAAACCGGGAATCAAACATGGCTGGAAAATCCCCAGCAATAGTTCGATGATGTTCCCAGCTATACCCTCTGGTAATTTAACATAACTATGGAAAATCACAATTTTTCATGGGAAAATCCACTATAAATGGTGATTTTCAATAGCTATGTTAAATTACCAGAGGGTAAACCTCCCAACTGTAGGTCCGTTGAGTTTGGGACTTTCCTAGCCATGTTTGAGTAGAGGCCACATCATCTGCGGCTTGCTATGTCAAATCCATCCTCTCCCTCTAAAATGGCCACCATTCCCGTGGGGGACCCAGTGAAATAGCTTCGCATCCCCATCTTACCACGCTGTACCACTATGATTCATAAAGCCCCCATAAACATGTTGGATGCGTTCTTGGGGTAAACACACCATAAAATCCATACGCGTTTGTCTGAAAACACGCTACCCTGTTCAATCATAGAATCATATTCCATCCATTTGCGAACCATCATTCTCCCTATCAGGATTACAACATATTGGAGGTAAATTCCGAATGTTCAAACACACCCATAGTTTCATATTTATGAATGATAGTAAATAGTAAATCTCATAAAGGCTCCCTCAGAAAATATGTCCATTCTTGCTGGCCGATATACTGAATTCAAGCCACTATCTATACGGGCCCCATATTTTTCTCACTCGACATCCTCAGCAGGTGTTGTCATCCCATTGCATCCCTTAAATTAAGGCCCCATTTCTTGTTTCTTATTTTATGTTAATATCCCCTTGATATGCCTGACTGGCTATATGTGTATATATAGTTTCCCATTTTTTTTTGAATTAAACACAATCAAATTATTTTAATCTCACAATTCTTTCTAACCATTTAATCTCATATCTTGGTAAGTCTAAAAATATCCCCATCATCCCATGATCTCCATTCTATATCACCACTTTTTTCTGGCTAGTATGTTACCCTCTGGTATTCAGACATGGCTTGCTGGAAAACCCACCATTTATAGACAATGTTCCGATTTAAGCCTCCCTTGGATCAACGTTAAGGTCCCTTTAAGGAGGTGATGTTTTTCCAGCCATGTTTGATGACACCATGAAATCACACCATCCCCCATGATCTCCGCATTGGTGGTTTCTTAAAATGGAAGGACTTCCCCAAGTCACCTTAAATGCTTCTACCCTCTGGTAAACTAACATAACTATGGAAAATCACCATGTTTAATAGGTAAATCAACTATAAATAGCCATGTTCAATAGCTATGTCAGCTATTACCAGAGGGTAATGTTCTAAATCTTCAAATCCGGGACTCGGAGGATTTGGGCTTTCCCCGGTCCCATGGCCGAGCGCTGCCGAGCTTCAGGGCCTCCGCGCCTCCCAGCTGCTGCCGCAGCAGCCTCCGCGCCTCCCGAAGCTCCGCCAGCTCCTGGAGCCGCGGCAGCCGCGCGCGCAGCTCCTGGCGCCCCACATCGGTGGAGCCGTGGGGGGCGATGGGAACAGTGTCTTGGTCGGAAAATTGGGATTTTTGGGTCGGAAATTCCAGCTGAAGCTATGACTTTGAGCTACTGAAAAAAAAAACAGGCAAGATTCTGTTCATCTGAAGAATTCTGTGATGTGCATTGTTGATCAAGGATCTCAAAGGCCTGAACAAACCGAGCCAGTGATCTTCCACAGTTCCATGTACACCCCATATACCCTCTGGCCAAAACCCATGTTGAATAGATTATGTTCCCAGAAAAAAAAAAAACGGTAGGGGTTCTCTAGCAAGCCACGTTTAATGACCAAAGAGTAGCCAAATAACATCAAATAACATCAAATAACAGAGTATCGAATTGTAATCAAACAAGAGAGACACCACTGAGATAATGGAGAGCACCACCTGAACATGGCAAAAGTGTAAGAGCCATGAACCAACGGCACTTTGCATGACCAACAATAACTGAAGTGATGGCCACATCAGGATATTGCCGCATTGCCAGTACAATATCACCCCAGAAACGAAAAAAAAAAATGCGCCACTATTGGCCACGTCTGGGTACGGCGTTATCATGGGTTATCTATATTAAATACTAATAGAGGTGTAAACCGTAAACCTGCTTCCAACTCTTGAAATGGACTGATTCAACACCTCTCATTCATTTTGGCACTTTGTCAATCAGATGTCGCGCCAGTTTTACATTACAAAACGAGGAAAGGATAGATCTTCAACTTCAGTTGTCCCCAGTTTAGAAATCTGCCATCCCTTCCCCTTATCAAAGAACCACCTCACCACAAACCCTGCTTGTCATTGGTGGATCTTTTCATGTGGCAGTGTCCCAGTCCCAAACAGTGAGACTCCCACTCCCCAAATTCAACAAAGAACTACCAAAAATTGGATCTGGAAAATCACGTGATTTTCCAAACGGATACCCTCCGGTAATTTCTGACATACATCGTTAGGCTTACAAGCCATAGTCCGTCCATTTAGATCCATGTCGATCCATAAAAACTCTCATGATTTAAGCCATGAAAACATGTGGGTATGGGTCAAAATTAGGTACCCCAAAATTATGGATGGTTAATACTAAACTAGACTAACATCTGTGGTTCCCTAGGTCTTCCATTTTGACCCACATCCATGTTTTGATTCTCCATGGTCAAAGTATACCAGCGGCCCAAACCTTCGCCAGCCATTGGGATCCCAATTTACCATCGACTCACCAGGGAATCACCCAGTCACTGCTCGAATCGAGGTGGCTGCATCGGCAGCATCAGCCATGGCAGCTTCGATAGCCAGATCTGGGCAGTGGCTGAGCCTCCATGAAAGTCTTCTAAAAACTATGACTCATAGTGAGTTATAACGACTTATAACGACTTATAACGACCTATAACGACTTATAACGACTCATACCGACTTATAATGATTCATGATAACTTATACATTGGGTCTAGCAGATTTTGTAGTCCCAATCAGATAATACTCCAGGCTGCTCCCATTTATGCTTCGGTCCCACCTTGCTATGTCCCCCAGATGACCTGTTTTTGGGGCAACCCCCAGGAAGAACTTGCGCGAAATCGCTTTTGAGCCCATGATCACCGTCGAAACTGCAAACACCCCGGTGTTTAACCATGGAACATGGAAGAGGTCCAGAGCAACCTGGTAAAGACGCGTAGCAATCTTATCATGCCATGTCTTGCCTGCTGGGCACACGATGAATTGAACTTGAACATGTCGGAATGGCAGTTGCGGCGAGAGGATCGTCATCGGAATAGGACAGCTTGCATGTTGAACAACATAAACATTCTACAATACAAAAATGTGTGTGATTCTATGTACGATACATGGGTACTAGATAAGGCTCTGGATGCTGCCGCCTGTATCGCACTTTCAGGACAACGGCGCCTGTCAATTCTGTGACTGTCCAAAAGTGGGAAGCCTTGTGCCAATGCTGCACGAGCTCATCAGGACGCTTCAGAGAGTCATTCCACGGTAAGGACTGAAACCAAGCTGAAACCAGTGGGAAAACCCAGCCAAACAGCCCTTGAGAATCATCAGGTCGATCTGGGCCTCGCTTATGTGCTGTGAATGGTTTCCTCCACCTTTGGGTCCAACCAGCGTTGTCTTGTCTGTCATGCCAAGTCCGCTATTGTGGGGTTCTTCCTTTCTGCCCCCATATGCTGCTGCGTATCCTCGGTGATTTGCTTAACAAGAACCAAACTGACAAATGGGTGAATCTAAACGGTCATAACAAGCACTGCGGAAAACAAAAAATAGATCACTGTGATTCAGCCCACGCATCCCCAAGAATAGATGGCGAATGAGCCCTTAATGGCAGCCCTGACTACCAGTATGAGGTCACCTGACTGGGGTCGGTGAAGAATCGCCAGAAAAATGACAGGTGTCTTCGGGATCTCCCGGTCTCTCCAGAGATCTGCTGAGTCATCCTGCACCCATCCATCCTCCCTCGCGACACCACTGCGCTTCTACAAAGGCCCTGAAGTCGTCAGCTAAGGCGGCTGCGCCATCAGCCACGAACCTAGAGGGTCTGGGTGCCTCGGGGACCCTAGCATGGTCAAATTGTGTGATATTGAAACATTTAACCCCCAAACATATGCAGTTTAACAACAATGGAGGTTAAACGGTTAAACTGTTCAAACAAAGAGATGCTGGGTGGGTTAGGGGCTAACTGCTGGACCAAGGACAAATCTGCGCAGAATTCAGGGTCTAATTTGGTTTGGCCCATCCATTCAAGGCTGTTCTTGAGCACCGGGCTTCAAATGTTCTGCTTTTGCTGTAAGAATACCATTCAGTATTCAGTTGGGATCATCATCCCATTTTTGGGCTGGAGAATCAGATTTGTACAACAAATAACTCTCCAACGATTGTGGGAATTTGTCCCATATTTACTGGTCAAATCTGTTGCGTAGCCAAATTCCCACACCGTGTGGCTTCAAATCATCCACCTTCCTCACCTCACCACCGCGCCTCTGAGAGGCATCCAACTCTAACTGCAGCACGGGTCGTTCCAACTCGAGAAGACGCTTTGCGGACCTGATGGCTACCCTGGTTCAACAATCGAGCGGTTGCACCTGTTGCGTATTTGGGGTTTCCAAAATTGAAGGCAAAACCCCAAACTCCCATGGTTTATCGTCTCTGATAAAAGGGCAATTTGGGGGCTTGCCCCATTTGTGGACAAACCCCGGAATCAAAAATGAAAACCTGACAAAGGATACAAAAGCATCTGGAAATCGCCCTATGTTCAAATTGCATGGCGATCCCTTCCCCCTTATATTAAGAGAAAAGTACACCCCCCATCAAAACCGATCCCCCCTTGCATCCCATATTTGGCGGGTTTCTTAAAATTGGGGCCTTCCCAAGTCACCATGGGTTAGAATCCTATGGTCTGATGACTGGATGATTTCAGGGTACCTCCAAGACTTATGGAAACCATGTTTTTTTTGATTAGTTATATAGAATTAGCTCAGGTTAGTTCCTATTGTTGTGTTTATGTGAAATTACTATATCTATTATCCCCCCTTTACCCCCATACAACCCCCCTATACAGCCACTCTCCACCCATTGATATATCATGATTTATCAATATCCCACTATAGTTGATGAAATGATATCAACATTATCAACTATCGTCAGACCCATCATAGTTGATACTGTTGATATATCAATCTGGGTAAATTATAATAATTCACTAACCTGAATAGTTCGGCCATTTGGGGATGATTTCCCTTACTAACCATGATTCCAGTGAGGTCACAGTGAGGTCGTGATCAAATTTACCCAGATATATATATATATATTATACCCTCCAGTAAATTAACATAGACCCTGGCAGTCATCGGGGGTTGGAAGATTACATTCCATAAATAATTTACCCAGATATATTCATATTCAAAGTTTATATCCCTATTTTGATGGGCAGATTTCGCCTCCACAGCTGCTGCCCTTCCGCGCTCACCGCCGGTGCCTTTCCCTCGGCCGCGGCGTCTGAGACGACCAAGGCCTGCCCGATTTGACCCTTGAAACCCAGACAAACCTGAGGATTCGGGCGAGTTTCCAGTGATTTCGGCTCATTTCGGGAATGGATAATATACTATATATATATATACGTATATATAATATATATATATATATATACGTATAATATATATATATATTATATTATATTGTATACAGTACAGTAAGACATATACTTGGGGGTTTACGTGGGTCTTCCAAATCCATTTCTGGACATCTTCTTCAACCCAGCCGGTCCCCTCGCCTTCGACAGCCACTGGATCACCAAAGCTCGTGCCTTCAGTTCCAACACCAAATCCTGCCGGAGAAAGGTCATGGGAAACCAGAAAGGTCATGGAAAAGAATGGGATAATTATGGGATTTAATTATTATATATCCGGAAATAATTTGAAATCATGGGATAATTTCTGGGGAAACCAGCAAGAATACATGGGATACTTATGAGATATACGTATCATTTGTGAATATAGAATGTGGGAAATATTCAAAACTGGTCTTGGAATAGCTTTGAAAGTGGATAAAGTGGTTTGAACATGCTGATAGAAATTTGCTTTGAAGATGCTGCTGAAAATGACTTGCACGTGGCGTTTGAATGTTTAAATGCTAAAAATGCTTACGTCCAAAAAGGTCAATTAAAAAAGGGATCTACTAAAAAATCTAAAAAATAGTACCCTCTGGTAAATTAACATAGACCCTGGCAGTCATCGGGGTTGGTTCAGACTAGTTTCCATTCAAAATGGGTGATTTTCAGGGTCAACAAGTTTATTTACCATAGGGTATATAATAATGGTCAATAATGAATTTGGCCCCCCAAAAGATGGAACTAGCTCTATATACTCCCCAAATCTGCTGTATTATTGTAAAAAAATATGCGTTCTCTAAACATTCGGCTGCACTTCGAGGTCACCAACTGACGAGACGTCGAGTCTGCCTCGCCTCTCTGGACGGCGAACTCCAGACATCGGCGCCGTTGGTGGCAACGGCACGTTGGAGCTCCGCTGGGGTGGTACCTCCATCGGCATTGAGTGGTGATTTAACCACTATAAAACCATAGGAAACCATAGGAAAACCATAGGAAAATGGTGATTTAACCACTATAAATGGTGATTTTATGGTGGTTTAATGGTGATCAAATGGGATTTAGCCTCTGGTAATGACTAACAGTTTGCTATGGGATTTCGATGGCCCATAGAAATAGTGGATTTAGCCATTGAAAATGGTGGATCTTTCCATAGCTATGTAAACGTTTACCGGAGGGTAATGTGGGTAAAACAATGTCATGGGTGGTTGGAATCCCACCTATAAAAATGGTGATGACTGGGGGATGGTTTATGGCATTGGTTTACCCACATTGAGGTAAATGACCATACTTATGGGTGGGATGAGGAAGCTACTCATGTTTAAACATAGCGTCACCACAAAATCACGGGCTATCGCCCATTCCAATCGTGACACACCTGGTGCAAGCTGTGTTCCTTTTGCCTGATGGAAAATACACCATGTGTAGATCATTTCCAAGCGAAATAACCATTGATTTTCCGTATGTTTTTGTGTGTTTACTGGCTGGTAAATAGCAATGATTTAGAATGAGGTGAATCTCATCACCCAAACATAGAAATGGAAACCAAAAATTGGTCTGTCTGAGAATCTGGTAGCCCCATATGTGATGGTTTAGCATCATTTTTCTCATGATTCAATACCCCTGAATTGGGGATAAATCCCCCCCAAACCCACTTTCCCCCAGAAAAGAATAAAACAAATCAATGGTTCATACTCAGATCCTAATAAAATCATATAAATTCCCATCAGAAATTCCATAAACCATATAAAATCCATGAAAATCCCATCATTCATCGCATGAAATCCATGTGTTGTGATGAAATCCCCTACAACAAGCTGGGCAGGGCACTCGCCAAGAGCCGCGCCAAGGGCATCATCTCTCCACCCGCCTCTGCGTCTCGGGGCAGCTCCAGGATGTGGATCTGGCGGACAGGAAAAGTCACCAGCCCAGTGGTGATTTGACTATGACCATGACCATCCCCCTGATGGTAAACCTTGAGAATGGCCAATTTTATCCAATTTTTGGAGTGTGATCTTCCAAGCCGGCAGGGTCTACGGTAGTTGGAAGGGTCAACCACGGTGACACACTGAATCATCCGACCTCAGGGATTCAACAGGATTGGAATGGTAAGCAAGAAGGGATGAGGTAAATGGGTCATTCCCAGCAATGGATTATGATGTACCCATCATACTGCAGATCGAAAAAAAGTCACCAACCAGTTGTTGTCACCCCCATATACCCATCAACAGGTGCATCTTTAATGGCTCACATACGTGCAAATACCATCAAATACCCGCTTCCTCATTGAGGTCGTCCAAATAATCCTTCACAGCTGACTCTTTGGCTGCACACAGCTCTGGACCGTCAGAAGTTGGAAACCGCAAATCGACTTCGATGCCCGCGGATTCAAAGAGGTTTTCGGACTCCTGGAGCTGGTTCTACGAACTGAGAGGGAGTGGGGATGCTGCTGTGGTATGGCCATCAGGGTCATCGTCGTCATCGTCATCGTCATCATCATCATCATCATCATCAACATCAACATCAACAACATCAACTGCAACATCACCTCCATCTTCATGCCCTCCTCTGTCCTCTAAAAAGCCATAGACCATCCACAGCATGGCGCTGGAATTGGCGTTATAAAGATGAAAAATCTCCTCCCTCGCCCGGATGGGCCGTTCTGCCACTAGCAGGGCGCCATCCTCCACCGGCCCGTCGGGTTCGAAGGAGCACTGCCACAGCTGTGCGTCGGTGCCTCAATGCCAGCCATTGGAAACTCCATGTCTCTTACCTGAAACCGAAAAATCTATCAAATATCATCATGGGCAATATGGCAATATTCCTATGTGCCCTGTTGTTTTAATGTTTTTTCATATATGTTGTGTGATATGTATTGATATGTTGTGTCCGTGTATATGTTGAATATGTATGAATATGTCATCTCCCCGCATTTTGCCGCTTCAATCCCCAAACAATTCCTCTGTTGTTTCACACATTCACACCATGCCACGGTGATTGAAAAGGTCCAGGAGAGGTACCAGCGCCAAGCGTTCCTGGGCCGTCCCGGACTGAAAGGTGAAGGCGCGGGTGTCTACGATGACCAGCGCCCACCTGGACATGTCTTCGCTGAAGCCTTCGGACATCAGCTGCTGCAGATTCGCCTTGCCTGCCACTACTGTCAGATGAGTCGGAAAAAAGTTCGAATCCTCCAAAAATCAGGTATAGCCTCCCCTCCATGACGTGTCCCCTTCCATCAGGCCCCCTCCATGTACCTTCAGTCAGTAGATCTTCTGCAACGGCCTTTCCATGCACGCTGCCGGCCAGCAGCTGCTGGACAGAAATGTCATGGGGCCACATCAGCGGGTGACTCTTGGGAAGCTCCTTGGGTAGCACACCTGGGAAGGGACCAGGTAACGCTCGCCCTTTGCGCAGATTGATTGGTTTGGTTTAAGGGGATAAATCTACAGGAAACCATGGAGTTCTGACCAATAATTGCAAGACTTGTATTTTTTCCCTTTATCCGATTCCGGGATGTATGTAGTTGATGCTTTGTCATAAGCAAGTTGATGCTTTTTGTCATAAGCACGCGCATTTTCTTCAGAGGATGGCTGGGAACACAAGGAATGATTGATTGTATCCCGTACAACCTCATAAAATCCCATGGGTTCATAGTGAAAAATCAAGTTATACCCGGTTAAAGATCACATTGCATCCCCATGACTCGCTAGTTAAATGATGTTAAATGTATGTTTCAAACATGGTTACTGTAAATAATCTCGATGTCTGCTGTTTAAAAAAAAAAAACATAAACATCCCATCACAATCTCCATCAGAATCACCAAAAAAAACATAAAAAGGATTCAAAGATGTCAATTTATCCTCGTCTCGAAATCCTCTAATCTCCATCAGAAAAGCACATCATTAAATCATTCATTTTATCCCTCTAAATCCCATATCAATGGGAATTCCAGGATCCTAAATTGGAGGTACTGTACCATATCTTTGGCCATATTTTGTGGGGATATTCCCTTACCAAATCCTCAGCTCAGCCGCTGATGTACGGCTCGAACTCTGAGCCGCTGCCCTTTTCTCGTTCCAGCAGCAGCCGCCGCGCCAGGTCCGCGGTGCTGGAACCGGAGCCAGAGCCATCGCTCAGAAGGGCGGGACCAGGAATGCTGCAAACCTGGGAAAATCTGAACCTCCATAAGTTTCATTGGATTGGTTTAAGGGAAAATCTTAACCGGAAAGCCATGGGTTTTTACCATCAAATTGATCGGGCTTTCCGGTTAAAATGTTCCCATCATCCAATTCTATGAAAGTTGGGTGCAGAATCCCTACTATGGTGAAAATGGTGAAATAGAAAGCTACTTTAATTGGTGGAACTGCACCCTAGAGGATCTAGAGGTAGGTCTAGTGACTCCTTATGTGTTTGGCAAGAGTTTTTGAATAAAACTTAAAACATTGGGAGTGATTCTTGGGGTTTATGCATGGGCTTACATGAATTCCAAGTAATCAGCTAAGAAAATGGGACCACCAGGCAACCATCTGCCCAAAGGGGGTAGAGACCAAGAATCTGGAAACTCATGATGATCATTACCAAATCTTTGGCCAGGTCGGCCAGCAAAAGCATCACTGGCATTGATCTCATGGGTGGATCACTCAAATTGAAGGGGCTCCACACTATATGTGTTGGTTCTGTCCCTCGTTTTCAAGAAGAACACAGAAGTATCACCTGCCTTTCACCTGCAAATGGACTGGCAATGGTCACTTCCTTGTTTCGCCTTGGCTCTAGGCATGGGTACATGGGAAAAATCTACCAACTGATGGAGATGCGTGTCATGTCCTGCCCACCCCCCCACATCACTTTTTATCAAGAAACCATTTCTCCTTCAGGCACCTCTTCCAGTGCAAAGACTCCCAATCCCTTGTCTCCACTTTTCACCGAAATCTTCTCCAGTCCTTCGGGGATTGAATGGTTTTTTCCCGAAGGTCCCCAGGAGAAACCACCAAGAGGTAGATTTATTTGAAGCTCAAGGGGCTGAATCATTTTGCGTCTAGTTTTGGAATCTTCTGGATATGTGGTACATTTACGTTGCATACATGTCCAGTACATGGTGAACATAATTAAGCATTGTTGGATTTATACCTCATTGTTTACCCATGATGTTTGCTTTTTATACCTCTATTTTCATCATTCCAAGATGGCTCCAGTTATGCGTTGGTTTATCAACCCACCAGACTAGTGTTAGTGGTAAGCTATGTAACCAACTTTGCTAGCCTTGGGCACCACTTCTTTGGATCTATCCTGCGGTAGCTTGCGCCCTAGCCATCCTCACCAATCATCTGTAAATGGACCGTTTTCCATAGCCATGTCAAACCAGAAGGCAAATAATTCAACAATGATAGTAATAGAAATAATCATGCAGAATCATTTGTAATTGATCAAGATAATAGTAATCGCAATAAATATCATGATTAGTGGTTAAGATGGTAAAATAGTATGTTATCATATTTATATCATATTTATCATTCTGGGTAATTTACCCTCTGGTAAACTAACATAGCTATTGAAAATGGCCATAGAAATAGTGAGTTTTCCCATGAAAAAAGGTGATTTTCCATAGTTATGTTAGTTTACCAGAGGGTATCCAAAAATGCTCAAATCGCCGTGAAATGTTGGTCCTTTGGCTCCAAGTCCTTCCAGCCACCGCATCATCCGCCGCGCCTCCCGCGGCCGCGCCGTGGCCGCCACGGCGTTAACGACGACCCCGGTCACCGCCGTCCCGCGCCGGGGCGGCCTCGGCGCCGGGCGGATGGGGAGAGGCCATGGGGCGCGCCATGGGGCACACAGCGACATGGCGCGCCGCGGTGAGTTTCTGAAAAATCGGTGAAATTTCACGGTGGAAACTTGGGAAAAAAACATGAATTGCTGCCTTGGGAGGTGGAAATGCTGCCAACTGTCATGCATTTCACCAAGACAACGTGATAAATATATGATATGATATGGCTGTGGGTCGAAACTCTGGTAGCCTGTTGAATACCAAATAGCTGATAGATGGACAGAAGTTTATTCCCCCAAATTCCCAAATTTGGCATTGGAGGTTTTGACTCATCCCCATATATATGTAGCACATCCTTTCTGACCGGCGACGACTTGAGCCTGTCGCACCTGCTGAAATCACCAAGAAATTGTGGAGGTGCACCAAACATATTGGACATTCTTGGACTGTTGTATTTATTTGAAAATACACCAATTGGGGACACAACAATTGTGGAGGTACACCAATATATATAATACATATGGACCAAGTGATTTAACTAGGACATCTATGGACACGTAACTCCTATAGCTCGAACTCCAACATCGCAGTTCTACTTCCTCCTTTCCCTACGCGGTCTTGCCGAACTTCAAATGACTGGGTGAAACTTAGGTACCCTCATGGATTCGGGTTCCGGTACACCCCGGTACACTCGCATGGCCAACAGAAAGCAAAGTTCGGTGAAAAGAAGCGGCTTCGCAAACAGTGCCATGTGAGTGCACCTGATCCTAAAGGTCTCTGATCGCAGCAAACTTTTGACACCGTCGAACCCAATACATACATAAATGTCATATGTCATATACATGGAGACATTGTAATCATAGAAGAGAGACAGAGGCAGCGGAGGAGACCGAGAGACAGAAAGAAAGACAGACAGACAGACGACAGAAGACATGGACGACAGCCAGACAGACAGAAGACTACAGACAGCCATACTACAATACAGACAGACAACAGAAGACAGACGAGACCGGACAACAGACAGACAGGACAGTACATACAGGACAGACGGAAAGACGAGAACATGACAGACAGACCGGTACAGAACAGGACAGACAGACTAAGACAGGATACTAGAAGGACCAGCCATAACAGAAAGGACAGAAGGACATAACAGAACATAATAACAGAAAGCAGGTAACAAACCAGACAGGAAAGTAACAGAACAGGACAGGAACAGAAACAGTAAGATACAGAAATGACAGAAACAGGCAAACAGGACGAACAGAACCGGACCGAACGAAACATACAGCACAGCACATACAGAACAGAAAGGTACATCACAAACAGGACATGATACATAACATGACAGAACAGAACATTACATACCGTAAACAGGCAGGAAAACATGAACAGGACAGAACCATGACATGGACTAGAACATTACAGACAGGAATACATAACAGTACAGGACATAAATGTACATACAGAACAGGACATACAGTACAGGACAATAATACATTACATGCATTACATAACATTACCTACATACATACCATTACCATGACAGACTACAAACATACATACCATTGACAGACAGACAGATCAGGATCAGTACAGGACAGACAGACATCAGTATCTAGAAGACATTAGCAGACAGAACATGACCGACAGACAGTACATAGCAGACATTTAAATAATCATTTCCATTACATACAGTACATACATACATTACAACATGAAACAGTTTACATACATACATTACATACATACATTACATACATACATTACATACATACATTACATACATACATTACATACATACATTACATACATACATACATACATACATCAAGAATGAAATGCCATACACATCCATACACAGCAATCTCAATGCTTTGCGCAGCTTTCAGATCCAACGTGCTTTGTACAGTAGTGGAGTCGCTCCACTGAGCGGAAAATCAGAAGAGATTGCCTGGAGCCCCCACAGGGCTCTGGAGCTGAAACTGGAACATGTGGCCATGTTCCGAATTTTGGCAGCAAAGTGCGTATGGATTTATGATGATTTATGATGATTTATGGGAAAGTAGCCCAAAACGCAGCATCTGAACACACATCCCGATCCCACAAAGGTGATGTCAGACAGGCTAGACATATTCCATGTCATTGATGGTCAAAATCGACGGAATTTTTGCCAATGTTGCTCAATTCAATCCCTTATTATTTTGTTGGCTAAATGGACAAAAAAAAACATTCTGAATGGTAAAATTCCTCTTGGCGCCAGTTACATACTGACTTCTGTCCGACAAAATACATGGTCAAAATCACTGTTTTTTATCTTCCACCAATGTAGTCCCTGTGTTCGATAGTTCAATCATGTTCAATCCCCTTTTTTGCTTGCTTCAAATATGAAATTCAAACCACATATCTAGTCTTATCTGGTTGAACTATCATAATTTACCAACCAAAAAAAATGGCCATGAAATCGGAAAAAAATCTCAACACGTTTTACCAGTTTGACCCCAATCCCCCCATGGGGTCAACCCACAAGCCCAAGCCCCCGGGCTATTGAAGCCCAAGGGAAGGTCGGATCCCGAGGATTCGGCGTCCGACTCCTGGTTCCAACGAAGCAACCGATGTTTTGAACATGTTATAAGATGTGGCTAAAAGTAGGTATCATTGGATTGGTTTAAGGGAAAATCTACAGGAAACCATGGTTTTTACCATCAAATATAGGGTTTTCCTGTAAATTTTCCCATCATCCAATTCTATGAAGGTAGCTTAGGTACCAAAAATGAAGATTTCTTGGATATGTTTTTGGTTGCTGAAATCCTAAATCATCTGAATCTTGATTTTAAAGATGTTTTTAAAGTCCATCTTTGATGATGTGTTCAAGTGCAACCATCATCCACGGTGACTTCGCAACGGCAGTTGCGGTGAATTCGAACTGGGAACATCTGGTCGCTATGCCTGTGGGTTTTGCTTAAGGGTAAGGCATCCACCCAAACCCATATCATCCATATGTGCCATGGTCAAAACATTCCTATATCATGGGTATCTTGACCCTTTTACAAAAATAGATTGATGTCCATCTTCCAATCGCTGTTGGTTTTTTATGTTTTTTTTTGGATCATCTACCCTCCGGGTATCAAAAATGGCTTGCTGGAAAATCCATCCGCGCCTCTTCTTTTGGTGCAACGGCCTGTGCCTGGCACGCTCCCAGGAGGTCTTGGACGAATCAACATCGATGCGGAACATTGGTGTTTTTTCTGCATCTTTTTAAGGAGGGTGCTATATATTCAATATATTATCCAACATACAAAGGACCTACTATGAATGTTTTATTCGATTAGTTTAGACTTTAGATAAATATACACAAATATACCATTATCAGTATGATCCTTTATGTAGACTGGAAGTATATATAATTATATATGTATATCATTATATATCCTACTTGGTATCTGAATTGATAATATGTTATACCGTTATACCTATCATTAGAAACCGCCACTTCTTCTCCTGCGCAGTAGCTCTTGTTGATACAATCCATCCATTTTCGATAAGCCCAGGGGATCTACCAGGCGAGATGATTATCTAAGGAAGTAAAGAGAGGTGACAGGAGCTGGAGGTTCGAACTTATCTCAAAATTCATTGGATTGGTTTAAGGGAAAATCTACAGGAAACCATGGTTTTTACCATCAAATTGATCGGGCTTTCCGGTTAAAATTTTCCAATCCAATTCTATGAAAAATCCAACTTACATATGTTATGTTATTAACATTCTGCTGTCCAAAGTTGTCTCAAAACTTATCCAACCCAAAAATGCTCATGTTGTTCATGCCTCGGTTTTTTGTTTTCAACAAGCATGACCACCTGTCAAAAACACCATCTTGCTGAGAGGTTGTCAAGCGTCAGGCTTAAGACATCTTAAGACTATTAAATAACTATTGGTGGCAAGGTACCCTCTGGTACACTAACATAACTATGGAAAATCACCATGTTTAATGGGAAAATCCACTATAAATAGCCATGTTCAATAGCTATGTGAAAATTACCAGAGGTAAATAACTATTGGTGGCAAGGTAGATGAACATACCCTCCTGAAAACTGGCATGAATCCCACCAAAAATGACGTCTCTTCCTGTTGCAATTGAGCCATCAAAAATACCCCGTTTTCCCATCTAAGATTATACTATGTAGTTGGTTGATAGGTTTCCGCAACATGGGTTATAATCCCCAGTAAGCCAGCTAGAATAACTCCCTAGAATAACCAATCAACAATGGCATTTTAACTGGCGCAATTGACTTGCGTGGGTTCCATATCAGAGTTTATGCATATACCCCCTGGTAATCTAACATGGCAAAATTGAAATGCTCAGCTTCAATAGGTAAATCATGGTAAATCATCTACCACTGAGCCACTTTGAATAGCAACTTGTAAGATTACCAGAGATATAGACGTTCCCAGGCGTTCCCCTTCCGGCCTTTGCAGCTGCTTCGGCCATGCGTTTCTGTCGTTCCTACCAAGCCATGAGCTCCGATGGAAGCCAAGAATCTTTGGATTTTTTGGAAACATGTTTTTTACATCTCCAAGGTAACAATCAAATGTTAACCCAAACAGCTTTTCCAGGGGTTCTACAAAAATCATCGAGAATTATGGGCAAGTCACTTCAATGGACTGTGGGTCAAATCCCAGTGGAATCCCAATAGAATCACTGAATCCCCATGGAATCACTGAATCATTCGACCTGCCTCCTCCTCCTTGCGCGCCGCAGCGCGGCGCTGCCGCTCGACCTCTTTCGCCTGGGCCAAATGGCAAAATGGGAAGGTTTTCCGGCGCCGTTGGGGTGGATTTAGCTGGGGAGATGGGAGTTCTAGGGTGAATCAGGGCGAATCCTTGATAATCATGGATACTTCATGGGAAATTTCATGGGATATATGGGATATATATATATAATATTATATATATATATATATGATTATACCCTCTAATTATTTGTTACATGGCGGAAGCCATGGCCCATGGAGTTCGATAAAATGATGATTTACCATGACAATGGTGTGATATTCCATATGGAACCGTTAAATTACCAGAGGGTAAAATGTAAAATGCGAAGTGTTTGCTCATGTTGTATTCCATGATTATTCTATAAATATAATTTAACTTTCAAACATCAGGTTTTTACCATCAAAAACATGGAGTGAACAAGCGAGTACAATGGAAACTACTAGGATTTGAATTGGATTTAATGGAATATGAACCAATGGGACGCTTGAGCATGTTCATGCAATATATTGCAATATGGGTCTGTCCAGAAATCGGGGATAACTCCCCAAATATAATGTGGCCGTTGTATCGGCGAAATGTGCATGAAGTATTTGGACGTCTTCTATTATAGAATTTTTATATATCTATATGTATATTTTTATTGTCAATCATCGATGGTTCTGGTCATTTTGAGTTCTTACCCGTACTTTTACACCGATTCATCCTTCGTCCCTATCCACACCGAGACCCACTGGGCACTCCCGCAGCTTCCTCCTCCTTTCGGAGTCGCTCCTGGTGTTTTTTGGAACCAATATTCAGCAATTGGGTCATATGGGTTTGTCTGAAAATAGTGTAGCCCTACACCCAATGGTTAATGATCATTATCCCTACTAAATGGCTATAATTGGGGGTATTACCCCATTTTCAGACATACCCATATAGTACTTTGACAGAACTTTGATCAAAAATCTGGAAAGTTCTTTTCAAAGCTGTACTTCGACCAATGCAATTTGGATCTATAAATCAAGCGGCGGAATGGCAACGAAATGATGGAATTTTCCAGCTGATTGCCATGTCGGTCAACTGGGAACAAGATGAGTTCAGGTCATTTCAGGTCAAGCAGGTCCTGTTCCGCCAAACGTTCTTGGACTCGAAGGGCTTCCGTCTCCTGTTCCTCCCGAGCTTTCTCAGCCTGAAATGACCATTGAAATATGGCTGGTGCAAATATGGCAGATTGACATGTTCATATACCCAGCAAACATCTCTTGTAAAACAAATTTGCTAACAATATCATATGTAGATATGTGTAGTTCTTCTTTTTCTCTCAGTCTACCGGTCGAATTCGCGACTTCAAAAAGGATCGAAAATGCCAGAAACCCCCAAAATTCCATAAAATTCCCAGATTTTTGAACCCCCAAAAAGTTCCTATCATCAATTGATCCTGCAGAACTTGCCACCGGCCTCCCGCTCTTTGGCTGCGGCTTCACGCTCCTCTCTGCGGCGCCTGAGTCATTGGGTGATTCTTCCTGCCTTGACAGCCGAAAAAATGTGTGGCAACTGTGGCAACCCAGTTTTTCGGAAAAACCGGAAGAAATCCGTTTAGCTGTGCTAAGTTCAAAACTTGCAGTTGCAATCAGTGTCGTGTTTGTCGTTGTTGCTGGATTCATTGCTGCAGTTCTTGTTGCATTATGTCATTCTGTTTGTTGCTGCTGCTGTTATGGACTTGTTTAGATATGGAGTCTCCGGTATACCGGAAAATTCATCAAATATGTTATTGCATTGTGGAAAACGCTGGATTTGGGGTACCTTTCTATTTTGGGAAATCCTTTACAGTAATTCTTCCTGGCCCCTGAGAGCCCCGGACTCCGCATCCTCCTTCAGGAGTGGACAACAAGGGG